CTCCCCCCCACCCCTGCTACACTCACGTGCAGGGAGCTACTGCTCTGCTGTCCTGATGCAGAGGGCTGGGCTGGGCCTGGCGTGGAGCAGGTAAGGCAGGACTCTCCCAGCCCAGCTCAGCCCCCTCCCCCATAGGTATGGCATCACGTGGCCCGCAGGTGCGGCGGGGCTCTTCAGGCAAGACCCAGGCCCTGCCTGCCCTCCCCCAGCCCCATCGGTGGAGGAGGGGTCCTGCTTCCAGCTGCCAGGCAAGCAAATGTGAAAGCCACAGTTTTAGACTTGGTGCTTGAAATGGGTGCAGAGTTTAAAACTGCGGCTTTCACATCCCTGCTGGGGAGGATGCTGGCTGCACAGGGCCCCTTGGCTATGGGCCTCCTTGCGGCCACTGGTTTTGCAGGCATGGGCAGGCCAGCCCTGCATATGCAACGGCTCCCTGAACACTGATTGCTGATGCCAGTGTGCTAAGGAGCTTGCCATAGGTTCTTTAAGAAATGGTTTAAAATTCTGAATCTAGCTTAATCCCACCTTCAGAAGCAGCAACAGCATTGCTGTCACACTGGCTCTGAGCATAAAGGAGTCCAAAGAGTAGCAAGAATAGTCAAACAGTTAAACATGGCTACTCTCTTAAACACTAGTTGTGATCAAACAGTAGGGCCTCAAAATCTAAACTTGATTTAAGTGAGATTCAGTTGGACTTCAGAGGGACTATGCTTAAGTTTTTGCTCACTCAGCCTTTGAGTATATATATTTTTGGAACAAGAACCTTAAGTGGTATCTTCTTATCAGTGCCTTCTGAGACCTGTATTTCACCCAATGCCATCTTTCTTCCATGTCAAACCACTGTCCATACTAACTAAAATCATAGCTCCAGGTTTTTTCTCCAGTTTTTATTGTGGTTGCAAAATCAAAATCTCTCCAGAATAAAGAGTTATTCAAAAAATGTGCTATTCCTTTTGCTCTTGCCTGGATATTGTAGTACCATGGAAGACCACATTTTACAAACCTTACTCTCTGAATATTCTCTCTGAAGCTCTGGAGAGTTTTTCAACAAGCATGGCAAATAGTTTTGGCATATGATATTCAGTTTAGCTTTACAAAAACAACCACCTCAGCAACTGCATATCCCAAGGGCTATTTTCATCATTTATTTTTAGTGATATATCAAAGAATTACAGTAAAATAAGCTATCACATCAGTAATGGGTGTTAGTGCAGAGTCACAGTTTAGTTCTAGGTAATTCTTGTTAACATTCTTTATAATGACTTTGAGAATTACGTGCAACCAGAGTCCTTTATGTTTCAGACTGGCACTCCCAACCTCAGCACCTTGTAAATCATAATACAGTATTAAATTGACTTTGGATTAATTTCAAATTGATTTAATTAAATTGTCTTTTATGCCAAATTAGTACACTTCTCTAGTTAACAGTTTTCATATATTAGTATGGGATAAAAGTAGAAGATTATAAATGAATGAGTAAGGCTTTTGAAATACAAAAGTAATTAAAACAACAAGCCTCTTTTTATGGCCAAAATGACTGAATGCAAAAGAAAAAAATTGACAAAATATATGGTGAAAAATACATCAGATTTTCATTTTCATATTTACTCAGTTCTAAATTGTTGGGGTTTTTCAACAAAGCTGTGTAGGAATAATTTGTTTTTTGTCCCCGATGACAGCTTTTTAAGATTGGTCAGAAATATTTACCAAAGATATGAGCACTTCCTTTTCAGGTTCTTTTGACCTGTTGTGCATAATTTCTGAATCTGATGCTGACAAAATAAAGAAACAAAAAGAAAAAAATGCACATTACTGTACAAAATATCAACCACATTTATGCAAAGAAAGCCTTAGTGGGGATATCCTCAGCCTTCTGTACGTATTTTGTCTTTGGCACTGCTATAAGTTGGTCTTGGTTATGACTATTACATGGGAATCCATGAAATTTACTTTCACATTAATTAAAGCCCACTTCGAATGTAATACTTCTCCCTCAAAAAAAGAGCCTATTCAGGGATGTAATAATTTGGGAGAAACAAGTCCACTATACTCAGATGTTGGGCCAACAGCTTTCAAAAAATCACATGTAAGTAATAATTTAGACGTGTGTCCAAAATCATGCATACAAATATTTTAGGGCCATGTCTCCTCTGCAGTATGGCATCCCAGTGCCTTCATTTTCAATGGCACTGGCAGAATCAATATAGCAAATGTTCAGTTTGTTTCATTTTTGTTCAGACTTCCAGATACTCTAGCCAGGTTGGATCTGAAAGGAAATGACATACAGGATGTTGGAGAACAAGAGCTGAAAGACTTGAAACAACTTCAGGTTTTAAATCTACGGAACAACAAGATATCTTCCTTGGATTGCAAAGTCTTGGAGTATTTGCCTCGTCTCAGGCACCTGTATCTAGATGGAAATCCTTGGAATTGCACCTGTGACCTGCTCAGAACCAGAAAGGTGCTGATGGCCAAAGGGACAGATGTCAAGGGGGGACAATGTGTAGCTCCAGTTGAAAGCCAAGGAGAAAGCTGGATGTCTTCCCAAAAGATTCTGCAGCGATGTGAAGATAACTTTTCTTCAGCTGAAAGAATCAAAGAGGGCATAAAGAAAATGAAAACCGATGATTTTCCCAGTGTTGGAATAAATGTGGATGATGATTATTATGATTATGAAATAGATTAATCATGATGATGGTGGGCCTTAGAGCTCTCTTCCATTATCATGTGGGGGTACCATTGAAATTTCCTCTTTTATTTTTTATAAAATGTAGTGCTTTGAGGTGGGGGAGGGGGTGGCCAACCGTGTATTATGATGTCAGGTTCTTTAAAAATTGTGAGAAGGTTTTTTTAATCAATATTGTTATGCATTTAATATTAGGTGATTGTTGGGAAGTAAAAATATAATATCTGTCACCTGGAAAAGTGATCTATTGTTCTCTATGGGGTTCATAAAGGTAGCTTGATAGTTCTATAAAAACTGTGCAGACAAAAAGTGTTTCACAGGATACTATGCCAGTACTGGAACTTTGAGATCCATGCCGTTTAATTGCACCTAATGGTGCTGCAGTTTCCAAAGAAGTTGAAACATCATGTTATAGAATTATAGAATCATGTTATAGAATTATAAAATCATTGAAAATTAGGGTTGGAAGGGACCTCAGGAGGTCATCTAGTCCAAACCCCTGCTCAAGGCAGGACCATCCCCAACTCGATCATCCCCACCAAAGTTTTGTGTAGCTGGGTCTTAAAAACCTCCA